AAAGAATTGATTATTATTTTTTAAATATAGATAATTTTACATGTAAGTATGGTGTTTGATATATGAATTCATGCATGAAATGGAAAAAATAAATAAATGCTACACAACAACCCCCTTGACAATTAAATATATAAGAACAATTGTCATATGATCAATTATCTATTAATTTACTCCAAATCTCCAACCATTATCAAGTTTGTTGAAGGGATTTATATATATATATATATATATATATATGTATATGTATATTGGGAGTTCATTTTCAACGAAAGCGACATTTAATTTAGTTTAGATTTTTTATTTTATTTTATTGCATATTCTTAAATGAAGAATGGGGCAAACAAAATAAACTGCAATTAATCTTTGTCGTGGTCCATACTCGTCATGTTCTAATGAATTTTTGTAAGTTTTAAGCTTTAATTGTTCATAAAATAATCTCATATAAATATCATTGCCATAACTTGAATGACAAAGTCAAGTTGAATTTTGTAAGGGGGTTCAAGGTTAGAGAGGTGATTAGAGAGACAAAACTATACTTTAATAGTCCAATAATGGCGGAAGTAGCTAGAGAATAAGTAGCAACAACTATTTGGGAGTTGAAGAGTATGTAACTGGGTGAGGGTGAAGCAAATGGCTCAAGAAGAAGACAATGGCAGTACCAAAATGGACAGCATCTCTCCCAAATCTCCAAAATTCCTCTTGTTGAACCTTGGGAAATGGGTCCTATTTATAAGCTTTTCCTTCGCACTAAGAGGACACCAAGTGGCCAAATAGAGAGAAAACATGTGTCCCAGAGGATCACATGGAATATTCTGCCTTGAGTCACCAGGCTGAAGGTGCCACGTGTCCTTCTGCATGTACCATATATTATCTGTTTGCCTTCGCAACTACCTTTTTTTGAGCCTTAGCAAGTGTAGTTACGACAGGAGTGTTTGGCGCTGCAACTCCCTTTTGAGCCTCAGCAAGTGCAATTGTAGCGGGAGTGCATACCTCTGCACTTGCCTTCTCGGTTTTATTTGGCCAGTACATACATTCTCAGGACTCCATAGCCTGCTATCAGCCATGTTCGTGTTCACTTCAGCGAAACCTCCACCCTTAGCCACCTAACCACAAACTCCTCAGCTTCCCAAGGCGAAGGCCACAGCCAAGCCTGCTATCAGTCATGCTGTCCCTTAGTACCAAGCCCAAGGAAACTTCCTTCGTCCTGCCTATGCGACTAAGGCAAGTCCATGACCTGGGTAATGGAAAGGGAGTCCCTTATGTTCGGGCTACCCTGCTCCCATCTTTGCGGGATCGCCACGGTAAACTAGTATCTCTGGACCTGCTATCAGCTCCAACCAGTAAGGCTTAGGACTTGCTATCAGCGCCAATTTAGGCAAGCTTTGGGGCCTACTATCAGCCCTAGGCTAGTAATGCCTTGGGGCCTGTTATCAACGCCAGGCATTAGCCTCTACTTGCAGAGGGAGGCCTCTCTCAAAGGCTGCTATCACCTTGGCAGGGTATTCCCTCTGCAACTTAGTTGCTGCGGTCGTAGTTGCTGCAGTAGTCATTTCCCGCGGCAAGTTCAGACGGCAAGACCAAAGATATTAGAGATAGCGGCGCCAACAGAATGCCTCTACAACTCGAGCGCTGCAAGTACTGCCTCTGCGACTTAGTTGCTTCGGTTTTCTCATTTTCTTAGCAACTCCAAATCACTACGCCAAAACAGGGCATTAACGGCGATTTTTTTAACGGCGGTAATGAAAACCGTCGTTAAAGGTACTATTAACGGCGATAATGAAAACCGTCGTTAAAGGTATCATTAACAGCGGTTTTGTTACCGCTGTTAAAAAAACCGCCGTTAATGCCCACTTTTAACGGCGGTAACAAAACCGCCGCTAATGCCCAATCATTACTGCCGTTAATGACGGCGGTCTTTGCCGGCGAAACTCCGGCGTGCTCCGGCGAAACTCCGGCGAGCTCCGACGAAACCATCTACAATAAAGTAAAAGTAATGTTTAAATATTTATTTAGGGAATATATTTCATGAAGAGTGGCTATGGTAGAGTGGTTAGTGTGAGTGGATGAGAGGTTGAGGGTTCAAGACTTGGGGAGTGTAAGAAGAAAGAATTATTTTTTGAAAAATTTGAACCTATTTACGGCGGTAAAAAACCACCGTTTTTGGTCCTATGTTACCGCCGTTTTTGGTCGACTTTTAACGACGGTAATTTACCTTTTTACGACAGTTGTATTTTTTCCGACACGCGCATAAACGGCGGTAACAAAACCGTCGTTAATACCGCCGTTAAAGGCTTTAACGGCGGTTTTACAGCCTTTAACGGCGGTAAAAAACCGCCGCTAAAGCCCAATTTTGGCGTAGTGAATGGTTGTGGTACCGACATTACTTGGAATGGCGGCGGCACTGAAATTACTTGGAATGGCGACGTTGAGACAAAGTGCCTCCGCAACTTGGCCATCGCAAGTGTTGCCTCTGCAACTTAGTTGCGTCGGCTTTATCTTTCCCTCAACAACTTCAAGTGGCGACGCTAAGGCAAAGTGCCTCAACAACTTTCCCGCTGCACATGTTCCCTCTACAACTTCACCGTTGCAGGTGTTCCCTCTGTAACTTGACTTGGGCATTTTTCTTCGTGGAGTCCATTTGGAGCCTTGACGGGTCGGACTTGCTTCAGCCCATTGTTGGCCCACTTTCCTTGGGCTTTGGCCCATGCTCCTTTTTTATTCCCAATTACTTCTTTGGGGCGATCTCAGTGCTTAGGCCCATACTTAGTTTGGGATTTAATTTCTGACCCTCTACAAATTTGAATTCAAACTTTCACTCTATAACATAATATATATAGTTTGTTTTGTCATAGAATATTTTCCTACATTTGGTTAATCTTAAAATTGATGTACGATGGTTGAGATGGTAACAGTAGTGGTAATGGTGATGGAGGCGGGTTCATCGATAGTAGCATTGATATAATTCAAAGAAATCATTTTATCTTTTAAAAGTAGAAAATATTTTCTTGCAACTAGTTCATTTTTTATTGACTACAATAAATATTTTTCATTGTATTAAATATTAGAAAACACAAAAAAAAAATAAAAGAAATAGAAGTATATATGGCTTTAACAAATTCTTATCTTTTTCTCTTATTTTCACAAATTTCTTCATAAATCTAATATCCAAGATAATAGGCTTTAGTACAAAAAAAATATATATATATATATATATATTTAGTAATTCTAAAATACTATATATGTGATACTTCCTTTTTAGATACTCCAAAAAAAGGTATATGTGATACTTCTAACTAATAATATAAGAAACAATTTTACTGATGAAATAATGCTGACATCTATGCTGTTTTCCAGTTCCTTGTCTATGGTAAACACATTAATAATTAATAAATCCTTTTCATAGAAACATTATAAATAAAGTTTTGAAAGGGGGAGGTTCAACCAAACAAGACCCATGTGGTCGGATTAGTAGATGTCCAAAAAACAAATGCGAGAATGATAACAAATTCAGTGGACAACAAGACAATCACTTGCACACAAATAATAATCCAAAGAACCGTACCCTTGGCATCCTTCAATTCAAAACAAGTTCAATCTTTAAATTCCTACATTAAATACACGAAGGGCAAGAAGATATCTAGAAACATCCAAAATTTAGCATAACCATGTCTCAGCAAGTGACAATTATAAGATTTTTTTTTATTTTTAAAAGTTGTAAAAATTTACTTATTTAGTGATTTTTTTAATTTCTTTATAAAAATTATATAAAAAAATAAAGAGATGATATGATAATGTATAATAAATAAACAAATAAATACACTTATTTTCTGCATTGCCAAACAACCCTTTTTAGGCATTGATTGATCATGTTCTAGACTCATTGCATTCCAAGAATTGTTTTTATTTTTTATTTTTTTATGAAAGGTCATCTCCAAGAATAGTTTCATTTCATTCACTTAAAAACATAAGGCCGGCCTTTTAATAAAGTACATAAAATGCATTCTCGAAAGTGATATTTGTCATGAAGTATTTCTAAATGTATTCACATAATATATTGTTATGATTTAATTGGTGTTGATTAAGAATTATCGTGATGTTCAGTTATGGAACATTGTGTGCTAAAACTCACATCAAAACAAAATTAATCGAATCCAAAATGTTCAGAATTAGAGTTGATTATGGTTCATGGTGACTTTGATTAAGAGCCAAGTAATTTTCGTATAAATTGGCATTAGTTAAGACAATGTAACTATGATAATTATTCAGATTTTATGATTAGCTCAGGCTCCATAGAGCCTGCAATTCATTCAGATAATGTAATCTCTAAATATGAAAAACTCCATTCACTTCCAACACACAGATCTTGACAAAGGATCCAACATGTAAATGTCCAAATTTTACGGCTTCACAGAAAATATCCAAACAGCTTCTGAACAACTGTTACTGCTCAAGACTCGGATTTGGATTCAAGCTAAACTTCCTCTGAAACAGAATAAGAATTTACCCCACATACGATTTAACCTATTCATGCAGTTGTTAACTATATTCCAAGGTGTTAGGACCAACGATAAGTATATCCCACTCCTTCATGTCGATCCCACAGCTCAAGTTAGGGCACCGAGCAAGGCTGGCTTGTATGTTGTGTTTGGTTGAGGGATTTAGAGAGGGATTTGGAAAAGAAAAAGGAAAAAGTGTGTGAAACTAGGTGAAATATAGACATATTTTATTCACATTTCACCTATCTTTTTCCGTTTCCGTTTTCCTTTCCAAATCCCTCTCCAAATCCTCCAACCAAACACAGCGGTAGGGATCTGATGCTTTCCACTGCACCGGTGGCCCTTACTCTTCTAAGTACCGATTCAAATGGGGGTAAAGTTTGCAAACAGCAAACAGCTTCAAAGAATCACAATGCAATAAAAACTACCTCAACACAAGCAAAATTTCAATTTCACAAATCATATTAGCAATGCATAAAAAAGATTCAACCAGACACATGGAAAGATATGAAATTCTAGTAAGTTCTTTCTCCATTGTAAAAGCTCATCTGTTGTCAAGCAAAGAACAAACTATCACTCCCGTAACCACAAAGTGCATCTTCTTACTTACTGATGAAACATCAAGATAATTAACATAGCGACAACAAGAAGATTTGAAACTACCAAATTTTGCACTTAAAGCACATTCTTTTCTTCTTCAAAACTAATATGTCTAGAGCCTAGACTAGATAGATAATAAGCAAAGGAGACTAACAAGCAAGAAAATTTACAAGCACAAAAGGCGTCACACCACCATAGTTCATGATTTATTTAACTTAATTTCGAAGAGTATGGCAAGTTAAAAGCTCTTGAGAAAAAAGTTTGCAAGACCATAGTACCAATCTTCTTGCTTGCCAAATGCAGTTCCTCAGCACCTCCACACTGATCCCGTCATGAGCTGGCGGCGCTGCCAACACAGCGTGAGCGACGCCTGGTGCTTCTCGACATGAAATCCCCTAACTTGGCTTCTCCTTAACACACATTCAGCCTGAGTTTCAGCGAAATTGCTGAACGCAACCGGTGCGAATCCCGCAGCAGCAAAAAGGTCTCTCCAATGGGGCATGTGGTCTGGGCCATGGAGTCGCCCCGACACAATGCTTTCGATCCTTGGCTGCACGAGGAACTTCTCGATCTTGTTCATGGTTTCAGAATTTGCATTGACAGCATCAATGGAGTCCAGGAGAATTTCATAGTATTGGATTGCTAAAAGGAGGTGGTGTGAGATTGGGAGGTCGGCTCGTTCAAACCCGCATTCCATCGATACAATTACCTTGGGCGAAAGCTGTTTTATAAAGCGAAGCAGCGAAGGAAGCACAGACAGGCGATTCGAACAAGCCCAGATAGGGAAATTCACAACAATGGCCTCATCAGATGATCGGAAAATGGGAACTGAATAAGAGTTAGGATCAAACCCATCAAAATTCACAACTTCAAGCTCGAAATTGACACCGATTTCGTTCGCGAATTGGGTTAAATTTTCGTGCATAAGACCCAGCTCGAGAGGATGGTGAGTCGAAGGCGAAGCAAAGGCAGTGATTTTCAAAGAAGGAGTACCTCTGCTACACTTCCCCGGAAGCTCCTGCATAAAAGAAGCCCACTGAGCACCGAATCCGATATCGAAATCAATCACGTGGACGCGACGAGTGTCGTCGTCGAGAGCGTCGAGCAAGGCCTGGTTGGAAGTGAAATTCATGAATTGGATCAAGGGAGAGACTTCAGAGAGCAATTTGTAAGCACCCATTTTGAAGATACCATCGAAAGGAGTAGGAGTCCGAGGAGTGACTACTGGGTTGGGAATGAGAGACAACTGAACAGCCTCCTTGAAGTAGAAAGTAGCCCTTTGAAAAGGCTTTGACACAGGGGAGAGCTGGTGATTGAGCCGCGCCAATATCCCTTGCGCGTGTGAGAAATTCCCAGCCAGTATCAGCTCCGCAGCCTTGCACAGCTGGTGGTGCGGCGGCGGAGGCGGAGGCGTTTGATCGCCGCCCGCTGCCGCCGCCTCCTGCTTGGGCACTGTCAGTGGCGGCAGTGGTGGTAGTTGTTGCCGGAGTAAAAACTCCAGGCCTGGATCGAAAACGCCCAAATTCTGGCGCTTTGGGTGAGGCTGAAGGAGGCGAAGTGGGTCTTGTTGTTGAGCATACAGTGGTGGTGTAAACAAGTTTTGACTCTGATTTATCTGGTTGTTGCTGTTGATGAATAGTTGGGGATTGAAAATCTGAAGCTTCTCATCTGGGTTTTGAAGCTGTTGTTGTTGCTGATAAACCACGCCATTAGGCAATAGATTGCTGAGAGAAGGACCCAAATTGGGGATTTGAAGATTAACATTGTTTGGACCCAAAATCTTTACACTGTTGTCGTCGTTTTTGAAGCCGGAGCTCTGATCGATGACTGCCGGAATAACATTGCCGTCGAGCTCATTGGGATTCGAGCTCTGCAACAGTTGCTTGAGGCTGAAAGAGCCATCATCGACTTCGCTCGAAATCCACCGGAGAAGAGACTGGTCTTGACCCGATTCAGACAACAAGCTCTCCCAATCCTCCAACCCAAGCCCAAATCTTTCACCTCCAGACACCTCGAGTCCCACAGGAATAGGTTGCAGCTCCGACGCCCATTCGTCCTTCCGGCCACCGCATGCGGCGGCTAAATCTGCCGGCCCTCTCTCCGGCGGCCAGAGGTTGTTGCCGGAAACCGCCGCCAGACTGGCTGTGTTGTCGGTGGAACCAGAGGAGGAGCCCACTCCGCCGCCGCCGAGAGATGAAGAGAGGGTTGATGTTGATGTGGAAGGGCTCGGACTCCTCCTTGTGTCCAGCACAGAGATTGGTTCATTGCTTGCAAAACTTCCTTCTTTCTTCTTCCACTTTGCTTCAGAATCAAAATCTCCAACTTCCAACACACCCTTTTCCTTCAAGTTGTATTGCATTCTTATCATCTAACAAAACCAAGATCTTGAATAACCAAGCAAAAATTGTGTTTTCTTTTCCCAGATTTGAAATGGGTATTGAGATTTCTACAATGGGTTTTCAAAGATTCAAGCTTGAAACCAAACTCAAGGCCATGAATTTGTCAAGAGACCCAAAGAAAAAATCCAGACAGCTTAAACTGTCATCCCTTCCCTCCAGCCTTCTTTTCTCTTCCTTTTTTGAGTTCCATTCCTCTATCATATCATAGGCCTCTGTTTTCCCTCTTCTTCTCTCTAAATACCACTCTATCTGTCCTCTCTATCTAAACTTGTTGGTTCTTTTCTTTTCCTTCTTGTTTCTTCCTTCTACTCTCTAAGCAGTACTCTCTGTCCGTACTCTTCTCTGTCCTGCCATGGATGCGTGCATCACAAAAAAAGGTAATAAAGTAGAGCCCCCTCTTTCTCCCTCAAAATATATTTTCCCTTTCATTTGAATGAAAAAATATTTACCAGTTTCCCTATTCCGATTGCGAGAATTTTTTTTGGATATTGGCTCATTTTGCAATTTTTGACTTTTTTAATTTTTTAATTTGTTTTCATATTTTTTAAATAAAATAAAAGATTAATTTTTTATTTTCCAAAACAAACGTGATATTATTTTTTATTATGACTGAATTTGAATTTTAAATTTTGTTTCAAATAAAAATAATCAAAGATGTTTCATTTACAAACGGTTCATTTTAAAGGCAAAGTCATTATATAATTTATTTTGTATTGATTAACTTGTATGTTGTTTGAAATGTAATGAACTTTTTTTAATAAATAATGTTAGACTTTCTTGGTTAAAAAATTCTATTTGTTTAGTTTTCAAAATCTATTGTCAAATTTTTTTTCTAAGAAACTAAAAATTAAATTGGTAAAATAAAAATAAAAATATATCGTTTTATATAATTCTATCTTTTGGGAGGGTAGAAATAATTTTTTTCAAATAATAGTTTTTTTATATTTATTTTTGTTAAATTAGTTTCTATTTTTTTAAAAGTCAAACATGTCAATAACTTTAATGTCATTATTAAACCAATTCATTAAATCAAAAAATTCAAATTAAAAAATTTCATATATTAAACATATTAATTACACATTAAAAGCCTAATAAATATCTATTACATAATAACTATTTAAAAATATCTATTAACAACAAATATAATTATCTATTAAATCATCCAAAAATATCAACAAAACTAAACACTCAATATATGATCATCATCCAAACTCATACTAAAAAATAATTGAGTAAAAAAATAAAAATATAAAAGATTTATCATTTTTATATAATTTTATCTTTGGTGTGTATAAATAATTTTTAAAATTTTTTAATTTTTTTTGATATTTATTTAAGAAAAAAATATAAAAATGTAAAAAGATATAACTTAAAATAGATTAAAAATAAAAAAAAAAAGTAACTTTTAACTTGTTACTGAAAAGAGGTCCAAATTTGAATAAAAATTTCATTTGATATCAAGTACTCCAACAGAAGATTTTGAACTTTCATCAGAATATCGAACGATCGAGCAGATGTTCAATTGGTCCATCGGCCAATGTTTTTTTTTTACAATTTTTTTTTCTAGAGGTGGTCATAGGGGACATTCGAGGGTGAAAATTCAACAGTTATAAATAGTGATTTGATGAAAACTCCCAAACATCCTTAATTTGGTGAAAGATTTTTGATATCCTCAATTTGATTGATACTAATATGATGAAACCATTAGAGCAAGAAAATAGTTTTTTTTTTTTAATCAAATTTAAATTTGATAAAAGAATTGATAAATCATTGGAGCTGGTCTTAGCCTTCGTTCGGCTATTAATTTGGGGTTAAAAAAGCACAAAGACAAATAGGCTAAATAAATTAATAAGACAAAATATCACATCCAATCCATAATCATTACACTTTTTCTCTTACAAAAGTCAAAAAATTCAAAAAAATTAAAACCAAACGAGGTTAAAAAAAGTCAGGCTAAAAAAGTTTCAACACAAAAAAAAATTGGCTATATTAGTCAATGCCAAATGAAGCTTTAAGATTGGAAATGTATTGTTCAATTCAATGGATTTATTTTTGAGTTTCGTTTCAATAATATAAACTATTCATATTTTAAGATTCGTCGAGTAATTCATCTCTATAAAAAATCAAATTGATCAAATAACAAAAATCATGTGTCCGAATCAATTTTATATAAGTTATTTATTTTCTTACCATTCATTTTGTTGATATAAAATTGATCCAAATACATCTTTTTCGTTATCCAATCAACTTAATTTTTTTTATAAAAATAATATATTGATTGAATTCAAAATATGAATAGTTCAAATCATCTAAAAGAGCCAAAAAAAAGAAAAAAAAAAAAAAAAAAAAAAAAAACTCATCAGACCAAACAATATATCTCCAATCCTATTACATAAAAGAAGTTCAGTGCTTTTGACATAACACTCCATATAATCAAAAATCACATTTGAGAAAATAAAAGAGAAGATATAATTATCATCATTGATCAAGGTGTAAAAAAAAATAAAAATAAAAAAGCAGTTCTACAATTCAAGATAAACAAATTTCGAAATTGTTTAAAATTTATAATTAATGTGGTCCCACAATAACAAGATTAAGGCTCTATTTGGCAAGAGTTTTTTTTTTTTAACTATTTTAGTCACAAAAGACAAAATAAGTTATTTTAGGCATAACAAACAAAACATCACATCCAACCTATAATCATTATACTCTTCTTTTACAAAAAAAAGTCAAAAAAACTAAAAAGCCAAAAAATCCTTCCCAAACCAAGTTTTTTAGCCCAGGCTAAAATAGTCAAAAAAAGTCAAAAAGTCAAAAAGTCAACCCACTTCCCAAACGGAGGCTAAAGATACATTTAAAGATTTGGGTAATTTTTTTGTTTTTGTTTTTGTTTTTGTTTTGTTTTGGTGCGTAGAGCATCCCCACCAATTTACCTAAATTTTACCTTAAAATATTATTAAAAAATTCATTCCCTATTTTAAGAATTGCTTTTTCATTTATTTCTCCCAACAGACTCTCTATTCTATTAACAAACTCCCTATTTTTTTCTTTATTTTATTAAAATATAATTTTTAATTATAAATTTTAAAAAAATAAAAATTATAAATGTGTACTGCAGTCCCTAAACAAAGTAAAGCAATATATATATATATATAAGGGAGTTACAGTAACTTCCTACAAATAGGGAGCCACTGTAGCAAAAACTAGTTTAAAGAATTATTTAGGGAAGCTGATGGAAGTGTATAAAGATATAAGGGAGCTATAGTGACTCCCTACAAATTGGGAGCCACTGTAGCAAAAACTAATTTAGGGGATTGTTTAGAGGAGTTGATGCAAGTGTATAGGAAGCTATTTACCCCTTAAAATAAGTAACGAGGAGGTTTAAGGATTCTGATAGAGATGCTCTTAGACATTTAAAAAAAAAGAAAAGAGTAATGACTGTTTCTCAATTTGAAAATAAATAAATAAATAAAATATGTAATATAAGGACATGAGTAAAAAAAATATGGAAAATGTTTGGTGGCCACAAATTTCGTGACTCAAATGGTCCGAAAATGCCAAAACGATATCGTTTTAGCATTTTCGGAGTTGTTTTTTGTACGAAATATTTTTTTTATATCATTTCTTATCAAATCAGTATGGTTGAAATAAGTGTAAGCGCTCCAATTTATTGAAAACACAAAGGCTTATTTTGGGAAGATGGTAAAAAGTGATTTTTTGACTTTTAACTAATCTTTTGGCTTTTTTAGACAAATGATTTAGGAAGTTGATAAAAAGTGACTTTTGACTTTTTTCATTAATATGTGTTTATGATGTCAAATCATAATGAAATGACCAAAATATCCCTAGCCAATTGAAAAATTACACATTTTTACTCTTTCATTTTTCATTTATGGAGGGTAATTTCGTAATTTTTCTTTTGACTTATAACCAACATCCCAAATCAATTTATGGCCAAAAAAAATCACTTTTTACATTTTGGCAAAAAGCCAAAACACCACTTATAACCTTCTTCTCAAATTGAGCCAAAATTGCCCTAAGTTCTTTTGCCTCTCCATCATTCACATAATTGGAAAATAAAAGTACAAAAGCTTTTGGCTATATTTGGTCTAATTTTTTAAATTTTCTTTCAGAATTTTTTTATGATAAAAATTACTTTGGTAAACAAAAATTAAAAATTACATCATTTATATATATATATATATATTTTGAAGGGCATAAATATATATTTTAAAAATTTATGTTTATTTTTATCAAATTAATTTATATATTTTAAAAAAAAAACTCAAACCAAACATTGCCATTTCTTTACTTTTTATAAACTGTTGGACTGTAATTTAAATGAAAAACGAGTCTAATAATTCAGAACGAATTATCTCTAAATGAGTTGAGTATGATTCCTTTTTGGGCAAATTACATATACACCCCTCCAGGTTTGACAAAATTACAGATACCCCCCTGAGGTTTGAGAAATTACGAATTCCCCCCTGAATGCTATATTTGCATAAGAAATTAGGGGGTAATTTGTTATGAAATATAAACCTCAGGGGGTAAATTGTTATGAAAATACAAACCTCAGGGGGCGGGATGTAATTTCCGAAACCTCAGGGGGGTATCTGTAATTTAACCAAACCTGGAGAGGTGTATATGTAATTTGCCCATATATTATATATATATATATATATATTAGTTTAAAAAGACTCGTGCGATTTGTTTTAGATCCTTAAACCTACACCATGTTATCCTCAAAAAAAATAAACCTACACCATGTTTGGCTTGTTTTGGTAAATTGGTTAAAAATTGATTTTTTAATTTTTTTTAAAGTTTTTTTTTGAAAAAACGTCTAAAAAAATAGAAAGATGATGTGACTTAAAATAAGTTAAAAGTCAAAAATTAACTTTGAGCCAAGTTTCTAAAACACTACAAAGAGACTAGACAAGTAAACATGTGGAGCGTAATATTTAGTCTTCGTTTGGCATGAAGAAGTTTGAGGCTTTTTGGCTAAAATAATCACAAAAAGACAAAATAAGTTAAAAAGTTAATAAGATAAAATATCACATTTAGATTATAATTATTTTATTTTTTATTTTATAAAAGTTAAAGAAGCTAAAAAAAATTTTCCAAACAAATTTTTTAATTTCAAGTTAAAAAATTATCAACTCTAAAAGGTCATCTTAAGGCTTCGTTTGGCTAAGTTTGTTAGGATTAAAAAGCACAAAAGATAAAATATGCTAAATAAGTTAAAAAAATAAAATGTCACATCTAAATTATAATTATTTTATTTTTTTCTCTCACAAAAGTCAAAAAATAAAAATTTGCTAAACAAACTTTGGGGTGATTTGGAAAATTGGTTAAAAGTTGACTTTTTAACATTTTTTTAAGTTTTTTTTTAAAATTTTAATTTTAATTTTTAT